GGGAATACAGAGACCATATATGGCATACATAGACGCGATAAAGCACCTAAATTATTGGGATCATCTCAAAGCTCTCCAAATGTACTCACTAGAAAGGAGACGAGAGAGATTTGAAATAATATTCATGTGGAAAATACTAGAGGACCAGGTCCCAAATTTACACAGCAAAATAACAACATACTAGAGTGAACAATATGAAAGAAAATGCAGAATAGAGCCAGTGAAGGGCAGGGATTACCATAGGCACAATCAGAGAACACTGTATAAATATCAGAGGTTTATGGTTGTTCAACATCCTCCCAGTGAGTATAAGAAATATTGCCGGATAATTTAGTGGACATCTTCAAGAGAAAAGTAGATCATTTTCTTCAAGAAGTGCTGGACCAACGGGGCTGTGGTGGATATGTTGGCCTGCATGCTGCTCCAAGCAACAGCCTGTTGGACCAAACTCTCACAAGTCAAGCCTGGCCTTGGGGAGTAGAAGAAATCCCAGAACCCCATCAAGCAGGTACACTAAAATTACAGACTAGACCCAAGATTAACCCTTAAATGGCGCATGGCTATATACCATTTGACACCCACAGACGCATACAAAAAAAAAAAAAATATATCTTTTTTTCTTCCTAACCTGTCAAGTCGTGTTCCCTGAGCACGGAAAAAAAAATCAATTGTACTTACTGGCGACGTAATTGAGCCGACAAGATGGGTGATGACGTCACAGTTTGCATGTTCGCTCATGCACGGTGAGTCCCCGAGGCGTCACGCGCGGTTTTCAAGCAGCCAGAGTTGCAACAAACTTATTTTCGCGTCATTATTTACAGTGTCTAGGCATGTATTCTTTGTAATATTAGTCACTAATTGTGTTGCACATGTTATTTCACAGTAATTGTCAATATATGTTGCATACATCGAGTATACACATGCGGAGGGAGCCGGTTGGCCGAGCGGACAGCACGCTGAACTTGTGATCCTGTGGTCCTGGGTTTGATCCCAGGCGCCAGCGAGAAACAATGGGCAGAGTTTCTTTCACCCTATGCCCCTGTTACCTAGCAGTAAAATAGGTACCTGGGTGTTAGTCAGCTGTCACGGGCTGCTTCTTGGGGGTGGAGGCCTGGTCGAGGACCGGGCCGCGGGGACACTAAAAAGCCCCGAAATCATCTCAAGATAACCTCAAGATAGATGCGCACACAAATGTTTTCCATTACGGCATTATATTATGTACAGTAATCACAATGTTCATTATTTTATATGTACACACTAGCACACACTGTGTACAGGTTTTTGCACTATTATTGCACATTTAGAAATCTTGGAGTGAGTGGTAGTCGTTGAAGCAGTTGACAGCACACAATGCAACTCCACACCCTTCACACCATGTTTGCACCATTTTACGTTTCTGTTTTCTTCGTTTTGTTGTTTTACATTCTAGGCATGCACGTTGGCCTATTGCACGCTTTCCACCTGGTGGCAAATTCTTTAGTCTGTGTTGCTGAAAGGCATCTATGTGAGCGAGCCTGGGTGTTGCAGCATGCTGCAACACTGGGTTCATGATTGGTCTTCGTATGCCAGGGACTTTTTGACCAAATTTTGCTAATAACTGTGTTGCTAGTGTAAAAGCAAATGAACGGAAAATAGGTTTACGTCCAGTTTTCACCAGATACAAATTATAGCAGTTCAACATGCTCATGTCAACAAGATGGAAAAACACTTTTTTCGTCCACTTCAATGTTTTCCGCACACACACTCGATAGTGCCAATCATCATGTCAGCCTTATCAGTCAAACGCATGTTGATATTGTAGTCAAGAACACAATCTGGCTTATATACTGGTTCTCTCATTACACGGTGCACCTTGCCACTGTTCAACATTGTACCCTCATGAACAGTTGTCAGCAGGTTCACTTCTCTCTTGTCTTTCCACCGTACCGAGAGTATTTGATTACATTTCCGTACCTAGCACTCACCAACTGCAAGTCCACCGCCAAACACTGGCATTTCCCTTTTTCGTGCCTTTACTGTGCCAACCAACCCGGTTCTATATATTTCAATCAAGAACCTAGCTAGCAATGGACTTGTATAGTAATTATCTGTGTATAGGATGTGCCCCTTGTTCATCCTTGGTGCCATCAGTGACTTCACCACACTACCAGAGAAACCATGTTCATCGTTACTGGGAATGTCTACATCGCTAGCTGAATACAGAATCATGTGTAACACGTATCCTGTTTCACAGTCACACAGTACAAAGAATTTCAATCCAAATCTGTTTCGTTTGGAGGAAATATACTGTTTAAATGAAACACGTCCTTTGATAAGTACAAGGGATTCATCAATCACCAGCTTCTGTGCTGGTACGTAAAATCTCTGAATTTTCCAAACACTTCATTCATATAGTGCCTCACTCGCCAAAGTCTATCATCCTCTGTCCGGTTCTCATTACTTGCAAAATGCAGACACCTGAGGAGTATCTGAAATCTGTCTCGGGACATATATTTCCCGAAGAAAGGTGTTGGAATAGTCAGATCTTTGCTCCAGTAATCTGTGAGAGCGTGTTTGACAGTGTTTCATCAACATACATTTCATCGCTAGAAACACATACATTTCACCTACATTGGTGGTTTTCCAATGTTGCAATAGTGAAAATTCTGTTATCTCTCTTCTAATGAGATGAGCCGCATGAAGATTCGTTTGGTGTACAACATATTCCATGAGCGGCTCATCATAGAATGCTGTAAAATAATGACATTCACTCATATCCTCTCCATTATCAGGGAAAAGCTCTGTAATTCCAATGTCTTTATTGTCAAAGGCAGGAATTCGGGGAATAAAACCAGTACCATCACTCCACACTAGTACACCTGGTGTCCTGCGAGACGCAGGGGACACAACAGGGGCACTACGGCGAGGAAGCAATGCACCCCGTGGACCAGGAGCTGAAGCCCGTCTACACACAGTACGGCCGCTACGTGCACGTGAGGTAGAAGCACGTGAACATGAGGCTCTTGGTGCCTCATGTTGTTCCATGCGGTGGCGCTTGGCTGGGCGAGACGCTGCTGACGCGACAAAATCTCGCCCAGTAACACCACTGGTACTGGCACCAGGCTCGGTAACACTATGTTCTGATTCCACTTCACTAAAACCAGAAAAAGAGTCACCTTCCTCTTACTCGTCACCTAAAATATCCCCAGACTCTAAATAAGCACAAGAACTGTGTGGTCGAGGGTGAATTGGGGTAGACACTGGGCGAGGTGGCATGGGTGAGCGTATAGGCCTCGCCATGGGAGGCGGCTGTATCTCATTTTCACTGTCCATGCTATCATCATCAGTCAATTGTGCGTAGTCTTTATCAATATCAGAGTCATCAGTCACTTTCCTCACCATCGGAAAATAATTCACTGGTTATTTGCTCTTGGGTGAGTGATTGCATGGGGCGTGCCCGGGAAGCGTTTGGCCGTGCGCTCGACATGGTGGCTGCTGGGTAACTGAGGCCTCCCACGCGATAGTAGCATGAGCTGGATTTTTTTTCAAAATGGCGGCTGTTTACTATAGCCCCTGGGCAGCGTATGGGGACCCCCTATACCCCACGGGCTTTTCAAATCGTGCGCGGTACTCCAAAGTATCATATGATGCGATGTGCAATTTACTGCAAGTCGGGTAAAGCATCATATGATGTGATGCGCAATTTAAGGGTTAAAATAAAACTTTGGTTGTGCATAACCGCAGTTGAATTCTAGTTTCAGTCACAGCATCACTATTGAAATACTGTAGTGTTATACAAGATGTTTCTTGTATAGAAACATCTTTCTATGTATGCCCAAACATGAAAATCATTTAGCACTATGATCAAGAAATTCTTAAACTAAATTTCTCCAACTGTTTCCATGTTTGGTATACAATATGAGATTGTAATAATATTACAATCTCAAGTACATAATTAATCACCAAGAATATAGCTCTGGAAAGGAACTCCTGGTTATTTCTTCCAAAAATTATTTATTAAATTTCAGGAGCTGTCATGTTCCTTATACAGTACATAAAAAATGCACCACACTGTAAACAACAACTCTTGTGAACATATCTTCTTGGATGCTACCAATTTCAACTAGGTGCTGTGCATGTCTTACAAGCACCACTGTTTCAGATCTTTCACTGATGCCAGCCTTAAACTGCTGAATTTATACTGTAATTACTCATAATGCATTCACTACAAAACTACATGCCATGCTTTATGGCTTTCTTAATTTCTCTCAGCCTCACCTCTACCATGCTTACTTTCTTCTGTGTATGGCCCTTTTGGTTGCTATACCAGGTCCTCAGACTTAATGTTCCTAATTCAGTAAGTTACTATATTTGCACCACCTCTAGTTTATTTCGAGGGTTCCTTATACTCCCCAAGTGGCCAGGCTCGTTTGGTGATAGCTTGTTCAGTCAAGCTGTTGCTTGCAGGAACCTACAGGTCCACATATCCTGACTGATCTGGAACTTCCTGGAGGAATTTTGCCATTGGACTCTGTTAAGGCAGCACTTGCCACATTGCTGTTATATCTACTATAGTATTGTCTCTCTACTTGTCATCTTTCCTTTCCCATGTGGTGTTATATAGCTATATTGGCTTCGTGATTTACTCTGATAATTACAGATTTATAAATTATCATATTCATATATTCAGGCAAACATATATTAAACAAAAATTATTAACAAATTACTTTATAAATTTTGAAGTATTAAATTTGACTAATACTAGGCATTTCTTGACCTCTTGTTAAATACAGTCAGTCAACCAGTTGGCCTCCCACGAACCTATTGCTTCTTTCATTTTCAATGATGCACTCATAATGTCCTGCATGTGTTCCTTTTTAATTTTATTTCTGTTATATTTTCAAATAGTTTAGTAACTTCCTGGCATTGAGGTAAAAAATTTAATGTTTTATAATTTTTACTTGATGTTCACACCTATATTTCTATTGCTTATGCCTCATATTTTCTTATCATTTTTTTAGGTTCCATCTGAAGCACCCCTTAGCAAAGCCATTATAAATCTGGACGACAATATATCACAGACTGCCTTGAAGAAAGATGAATTGGTGTCTAGAATGAATCTCTCTGAAGTGAAGAGAAAGACTATTTCTCAAAAGTATGGCCCAATGTATTATTGTGGAGTACTGTATAAATTTTCTTTTTATTGTACCATCCATATTCCAATTTACCTAAAGCAATGAGTCGGTGAGCATCTTCCGCCTATTATGTTTCGGCATTAAAAACCCAACCCACATATCTGAAAGTAAAGGAAGTGATGATGTTTAGGTATGTCCTGGAACAATGTCAACATAACTCACTGCACTTCCTCTGTCAATTATGTAAGGTCTAGACTGGATCCTTCATCCTCAGATCAGTATCTTTTGAACAGCAATTTGTTTTACTGAGATCCCATCAGTAGCTTCTCAGAACTGGTGTACTCCTGAAAACTCCTCAACTCCCTGAACTCCTCAGACTGGTGTAGCCAAGCCTTAAGAATTGCACCAGGCATTTGAGACCCACACTAACCTACTGGGAGGACAAGTTACAGCTCCGCTCCTGTGCCAGGTAAGTCCACTACAGGCTCACCATAGTCTGTGCTACTTTGGGACTTTTGTTCCGAGTAACTGAATCTAAAACAACAACAAAACAACTATTGGAAGACAGGACAAGAATCTAGTTATCTCTTCAAGGCAAGGGGGAGTTTGTGGGTTAGAGATCTAATCAAAGCCATGAAAAATTCATTAGAAAGGTTAAAAAAAAACAAAAAAAAACAGGCTACTGCTTAACCCTTTAACTGTGCGGCCTATAAATATGACACCCCCCAGTGTGCAGGAAATAAATTCTCTTGAAAAAATTCTTTTGTTTTTATAAAGTGTCAAAAACCCTTCCCTCAGTATGGGTATGTCAAAAAAATTTCAAACTTGTACTTACTTTGGCTGCTATGGGGTCCGTAAGTTGGCACGTGACGTCATCATTCCCCATTCGCCTGTGCTGTAAGCTTCCGGGGCCGGTGGGGCGCCCGGGGCGGGACGTGCGAGTTGCCGCGAATATATTTTTGTTCATTTTTGCGCACAGTTCCAAATACATTTTATTTGTTTTTATGTGCTAATCCTATGTATAATGAACACGTACAATATATTATGGCAGTAAAACATCCGTACTGTCCAAGGACACTGTGTTATGCAGGCGATGAGTCACAATAACATGGCTAAAGTATGTTGACCAGACCACACACTAGAAGGTGAAGGGACGACGACGTTTCGGTCCGTCCTGGACCATTCTCAAGTCGATTCAAGAGTGGCTGCCACACAGTGAGGCTACCTCAATTCTCTCCCTCCCTCCCTCACCAAAATTCCTCCTTCCACAATACTACAAACAATGCTAATTATAATTATCGACTTGAAATTGAAATTGAAATTGAAATAAGTTTATTGAGGTAAAATACACACAAAGGGATGAGGTAGCTCAAGCTATTCTCACCCCATTCAGTACAACGTGTTAATATATACATAGACACACATCACAAACAATAAACATATTACCAAACATTCTGAGAGGTAAACATATACATTTCCTCCTTCACAAGTAGTATGGTATCAGACGTACACACAAATACTTTTATGACCTAGGTATACTGTATAGACAATTTGCAAGACACCTGCAGATAATTCAACAAAATATTACAACCTTGGTGCAAAATTTTTATATCTCTCAAGAATATCATCAACCTTTCCGTTGTGACACATCCAGGCTATTTGTTCAGGAACAGTCCTTATCTCAGTGTTTCTATATACATTAATCAACGGACAATCAAGAACATAATGGGCCAGGGTGTGAGACCTTAACATACCACATAGTTTACACTTCGTGTCATTATCATGAACATCTATCCCATATTCCCAGTAATATTTGTACCCAAGCCTGAGCCGCATGTACACAGAGTCACTCCAAGCATTTCTCCTTTTACCATAAGTGAAATGGGTGTTTTGACTCACATACATGTAGTGTTGCATGGTTTGACTACTCTCATACATTATCTCTCTCCTCTCCACTCCCGCCTGTGCCTGAATATTTCTGATTTTGCTTCTTATTTGTCTCATTGTGAATTCACATTCAATGTCAACTTGTGGTTTTGATGTGGCACGTTTGGCCAAGTCATCCGCCACCTCGTTGAGCACTATTCCAACATGAGATGGAATCCACATGAATTTCACACTATAACCTTTCAGCTGTATCTCAGTTATTCTTCTCTTACAGTCCTCAACTATAGACATGAAGACTGGGTTTCGACTGTTTAAGGACTCCAGTGCTCCTCGGCTATCGACAAATACAAAAACATTTTTGTCGTCATGACGTACTTCCTCCAAACACGCCAGAATGGCCTGCAGTTCAGCTTGTGTGAATGATATATAATTACTAAGCCGGAGTTCAATTATCCTGTCCACAGACCCAAACTCCGTATAATCCCTTATTAGGACACCACACCCGGCCCTGCCATCCTCCGCCACCGACCCGTCGCAATATACATGTAAACTGTTGCCTCTTGGTAACCGAGATATCATGCTTCCGTACAAACACCGTAATTGTCTCGGTTCATGATGAATCTTTTTCACCTTGAGGGGTACAATTTCGACGTCTATTTTCTGTACTTTCCAGGGAGCAGACATATTACACTGTCGAGAGGGTTTACAGCAGTCAAGTACGTCGTATTCCCTGAGGTCATGAGCTAATCCTCTCGTGTAGCGTGTCTCCCTCAGTTTCCTGGAAGTGTGTACGTCACTCAAGCAGGTCTGAACGCTCTCAAACAGCTTATCCTCTCCTTTTCTCCGCATGAAACGAATAGATACTCTAGTGTTAATGCCACGGACTCTATCACACACACTCTGTAAATTTAATTCCATTCTCATTATTTCAATCATTGCATTTCTTTGACATCCAAGAATAATCCTCATAGCCTCGTTCTGTATCAGCTCTATTTTTTTAATTCTGCCTTGGCCGGTGTAAGACAATACGGGTGCTGCGTAGTCTATCAGGGACCGAACAGTGCTTATGTATAACATCCGCAAGATAGGTACCCCAACACTTTTACCAGAAAAAGCTAGTGCTTTCAGAGGATGCAGACGGACTTTACATAAGGTGCTGATATGATTTATTTCAGCATTTTTACTCTCACATGTGTATCCAACATACATGCCCAGATACTTGTACTTCTGAACACAGCTCAGTTCCACACCATTTAGAGTAAGTGTTATATTTCTTCGTTTCCTATACTCGTATTTGGTTTTATCTGCATTTATAACTAAGCCTAACTTGTGACAGGTTGTACCAAGTATGTTAAGAGCAGTTTGAATTTTGTTCCCAGAAGTGCCTTGTATAAGAATGTCATCAGCATATATGACCGTCGTGACCCCTGGAGGATACATCTCTGATGCTAATCTGTTCATTAATACATTGAATAAGGTGGGACTTAATACTCCCCCTTGTGGGGTACCTAACTGAAACCTCCGTTCCTCAGACATGTATCCCTGGTAATACACCTGACCTTTTCTGCCTTGTAGATAATCCCGTATCCAGTGTAGCAATCTCCCTGTTATTCCCAGATTGGCTAATTCGTATAAGATTACCTCCCCATTGGCTTTATCAAATGCTCCTTGTAGATCAACAAAAACTCTACAATTGTCATCCACATTAGACAAACACTTTAAGAGACAATCCGCAGTACTTTTGCCTTTGATAAAACCAAAGAGATTACTGGACATGTTATCACCTACAAGGTAGAGTAGCCTATTTAACAAAATCCTTTCCATCATTTTACAAAAGCAGGATATTAAGGAGACAGGTCTGTAGCCTCTGTTTGACTTAGGGATAGGAATGATGACAGCCTCTTTCCATTTTCTTGGTAACTTTCCCTCTCTATAACTCATATTAAACAAATCAAGTAAGGGACTAGGTTTCATACCGGCTAAATAATTAAGTATGTCATACGTTACTCCATCTTTTCCCGGAGCAGTAGAGCTGCCACTTTTTATAGCATCCAGTAGCTCATCGTGAGTTATCTCAGTGCATGTTATAGATCTTGTATTTAAGGCACATAAAGTTACTCCATTTCTAATATTTTCCCATGACTCAATGGTGACTCGTGTCTGCAGGTAAGGACTCCATACCAGCAGCACATGCCCATTTATCTACTAACTCATTAGCAACTTTCCCTGGATCTGAGTGAGCAATGAATTTGGTCTTACAACCCCTGATTTTGTTTACTGCTCTCCATATGTCTTTAAGGTTCTTAGTATTACCAATGGACTGAGCAAATTCTTGCCAGTATCTGTCCCGCGCCTCCTTCCTCATCTGACTGCATTCCCTAGCCACTTCCAACATTGTATTTTTCTCTTCATCCCTCATTCCATTTTTTAACCATTCTTTATGCGCACTCCGTAGCATTCTCTCCCACCCCTTGACTCGCTGATCATTGGAATATTTAAATTTCTTAGGTCCGTGCGTCTTGCTTCCCCTGCCCCCGTTATTTTCCCTCTGTACTAATTTCTCTATGTTCTCGACCATGTCCTCGTAAAAACTATAAACGCAGAGCGGCGTGTAATGTTGATACCAATCTCCCATATTTTGAATAAAATAATTTTTCATATCTTTATTAATATTTAGCCTTTTCCTTTGAAAGTGGACTTGCTTTTTCCCCAGTGGTAATTCAACGTTCAAGGCAAAGTGGTCACTAAGTAGTTCCCGAACAACCCGAGCCTCCCCCATAATCCCCTGAGAGTTTAAAATGCAAGCATAGTCAAGCCGTCCTCCCCTGATGTGAGTTGGTTCATTGTTTCCCAAGAGACAGGTATCTGGATGATCTTGTAGAAACTGTAACCACTTGACCCCATTAGCATTAATACTACCCACTGTCCCAAGGCTTGTGTGCCGAGCATTAAGGTCCCCAATGACCAGTGAAGGATTAGTGTAAATGCAGTCAGGTAAATAGTTAGCGTCGAAGCAGTTCCTGGATACATACAAATTAACTACAATAAATTCCCCTTCCCTTAATGATAATTTAACACAGACACTCTCTATACCTTGCGATTTTGATGGCGGTTCTACTAACTCTGCTGGTAT